TCAAGGCCAGGTTGGACACAGGGGCTTGGAGCAACCTGCTCTAGTGGAAGGTGTCCCTGCCCCTGGCAGGGGTTGGAGCTGGAGGAGCTTTAAGGTCCCTTCCAACACAAACCATTCTAGGATTCTACGACTTTCCCCAACCACTCCTTTGGGAAGCACACATCCCCTTCCCACAAGATCCCTTCTGGATGTAATTAATATGGTGATGTGCAAGGAAGGGAAAGGTAAACGTTCCCCCCTCTGCAGCCAGCTGGAAGAGGTACAAGAGTATGTTTAACAAACCAAACCCATCCGTTCTTTCCTCCTCATATACATACTGTTACCTGGATACTGCCTTTCCAATCTGACAAGGTTATTAAAAAACAAAACAAGCCTAATAAAAATGTTCCCATTAACATGGAAAAAAATTAAGGGAAAAATAAGATTCTTAAAGAAACAAAGCATCCCCCCTGCAGCGTCTGCTGCTGAAATGCACCTGAGCTGTGCTGCTGCTTGAGAGGCAGAAAGTTATGGCTATTTTTAAGAACCTTTAAAAGTCTTTTTGTCACTGTCCACACCAAAGGTAAGTAGAAAGTAACACAGAGTTTAAAGCAATTATTGTTAGAATTATTGTGGGTTTTGCTATCCTTCCCTACTCTCCAAAAATGTCTTTTTAACAATGTAAGGATGGGTTTTTTTCAACCTAAGGATTTTGTATTTTTACCTCGTCGAGCTCTTTTATGGCAGAATAAAGTCATGAATATACTTTTATCTGACTTCTGGTTCAATGGATGAGAGGACCCTTGAAATTTAAATATGGTGTCTTTTCATCCAAAAACATGCTCTGATATGTCTCTATTAAATATATATATATATATATATAAGCATGTGTTCAGCTGAAGAACCCACTGCATAATTTATGAAGCATTCTATCACGGTTCATTCTAAGATCGGAAGGTTATTAAAAAACAAAACAAGCCTAATAAAAATGTTCCCATTAACATGGAAAAAAATTAAGGGAAAAATAAGATTCTTAAAGAAACAAAGCATCCCCCCTGCAGCGTCTGCTGCTGAAATGCACCTGAGCTGTGCTGCTGCTTGAGAGGCAGAAAGTTATGGCTATTTTTAAGAACCTTTAAAAGTCTTTTTGTCACTGTCCACACCAAAGGTAAGTAGAAAGTAACACAGAGTTTAAAGCAATTATTGTTAGAATTATTGTGGGTTTTGCTATCCTTCCCTACTCTCCAAAAATGTCTTTTTAACAATGTAAGGATGGGTTTTTTTCAACCTAAGGATTTTGTATTTTTACCTCGTCGAGCTCTTTTATGGCAGAATAAAGTCATGAATATACTTTTATCTGACTTCTGGTTCAATGGATGAGAGGACCCTTGAAATTTAAATATGGTGTCTTTTCATCCAAAAACATGCTCTGATATGTCTCTATTAAATATATATATATATATATATACACCCCAATGTGTGCATTCACACCAGCCAGAAACCTCTGCTGGCTCGCAGCTGAGCCCAGTGCTTCCGTCGTGGTTCATGTCCTACCTTTATGGTGGCTCCACTTAAGGCTGGGGGAGCAAAAGCAGAAGCAACACAAGCTTTTCAAGGAGAGACAAGCCCTTTAAAATGCAGTTGGAGCATCAGGCTGCCACAAGGAATGGGATATCCAAAGGGATTTGGCACCTACATGGTTGCTTTTATTCAAAACTGATAGAAAAGCAAGCCTCTTCCTGTACCCCTGGCAGTGTTCAAGGCCAGGTTGGACACAGGGGCTTGGAGCCACCTGCTCTAGTGGAAGGGGTCGCCGCCACATG